CCCGTACCCCATGCAACAAAAATTGATACTATGTGCTCATTATGGTCCATTCCTCCTCGACGAACAAGTACATAAATGAAAATTTTATCAAAGTTGAGAAAACTGCACAAGAAATTTGCCTTGTTTTAATACACGTATCAGCAATGCAAGCTGCCATGCGACTTCCCCTTCTGACGTCATAAGGAAAATTTCTGTATGCAAATAAGAATCTAATGAGAAGCCTCGTTTTAAAATACACAAAAATAAAGTTGCCATAGATTGAGTTTAAAACACATTTTTTTCACTTAAAAAAAATAATTCATGCTTAGAAACTATATTTATGTATCAATGGATAATTTTAAGTGTGAAAATAGCAGCCATTTCACAGGCACTTTAAGTCTGAGATTTGATTTGGAGAATAATCAGGGTAGCTCTAAGATTTGATTTGGAGATGGGCCAGGTTAGGTCTGAGGTTTGATTTGGAGATGGGCCAGGTTAGGTCTGAGGTTTGATTTGAAGATGGGCCAGGTTAGGTCTGAGGTTTGATTTGAAGATGGATCAGGGTAAGTCTAAGATTTTATTTGGAGATGGGCCAGGTTAGGTCTGAGGTTTTATTTGAAGATGGATCAGGGTAAGTCTAAGTTTTGATTGAGAGATGGGCCAGGTTAGGTCTGAGGTTTGATTTGAAGATGGATCAGGGTAAGTCTAAGATTTGATTGAGAGATGGGCCAGGTTAGGTCTGAGGTTTGATTTGAAGATGGATCAGGTTAGGTCTGAGGTTTGATTTGAAGATGGATCAGGTTAGGTCTGAGGTTTGATTTGAAGATGGATCAGGGTAAGTCTGAGGTTTAATTGAGAGATGAATTAGAATAAGTCTGACATAAGGTTGTTATTGTTTGATTCCTTGGTGGATTATCACCAGAAATGTGGTTTATGTCTTTTATAATCCAAATTCAATCCTACTGTATATTGTATTATTATCTATTGTCCCACATCTGTAAGTATTCCTGAATAATTTAAGTTGCAGTATGTTGTGAGTAAATACATGATATTATGAGTAGTTTTCATATAATCTTACAGGAAGTTGGTATGCCAGCTGATTATGTAAATAAATTAGCACGTATGTTTCAAGATGTCAAAGTTAGTGAAGACCTCAATCAACAATTTAAAGAAGCATACAGAAATAATGAACACAGTGCCATTGCAGGTAAGATGCTCAACCAGACTTGTAAAACAACTACCCATTGGCTACTGAATCATAAAACCTGAAACATTAGCTAATCATATATCAGCTACTATTTTTCTAGTCATGCCAATTTACAAACCCTCTTATTGGTTATCCACAAGTATGCTAGCTGAACATAGGCATTACAGAAATGCATCACTGTAATTAATTCTAATAACAAATGTTATCATTTCCAATAAAGGAAAACAGTATTCTTAACTTATACTGTGGAATACTTTATTTTCGCTGGAATTAATTTTCGCTGAAAAGGTATTTTGGGCCTTTTGTGTGGAATTTATTTTCACTGATTTTTGACGAGTTTAATGTGAAATATAGGACAAAAAGCATATTCGCTGGATTTTATTTTCACGGAATCTTCCCTTCAGCGAAAATAGCGAAAATAAATTCCAAGCGAAAATAAAGTATTCTACAGTAAATTAATTCCAAGTGAAACCTATATTTAGTTGTTCCGTTTCATGAGATTCAAACCTTCTTTTACTTGTATTTTCTATCAGGCACTCATTAAATATATTTAATTTCTGATATCCATTTATAGATTCTATAAATATAAAAATATTGAACGCCGGTGCCTGGGCGCGTAGCAGTGAACGCATTCCGGTGTCATTGCCGGTAGAATTAGAAGACTATATACCTGAAGTGGAAGAATTTTACAGAAAGAATCACAGTGGTAGAAAATTACAGTGGCATCATCTTATGTCAAATGGGATTGTAAGTGTATTTCTGTAACTCTTTATTTAGAAGCCACATCCCTAACAGAAGCACTATCCACTCTTTTTGTACAATTGTAAAGAAAAAGATCACCATTTTTCATATGTGTACATGTAGATGTTCTATTTTGCATTCAATAGAAGACCATGCACCTACCATATACACTCACTCAGTGTTCTCCCCAGGAATTTAAACCACTGTGGCAGACTAATTTGCATATGATTTGCATATCATTTACATATTAATAGAGATTGACCAAAGCACATTTACATCCACATAACAAACAACATATATTTTCAAAAACAATGTGGCACATATTTATTTGTTTCATACAGTGTTATAAACACTATTCTTTTGGGATATTAATGAGCTCAGTCACAGTGCAAATATTTTTTCTATTGGAGTCAAAATATTACGTTTCATAATTTAGAAGAGTTTGAATTTAAAAATGAAAAATTGTCAAATCGAAATGGAAATGCTGCAGACTATTAAAATCAAACAAACAAACAAATTGTAAAAGGCTAAATGAAACGCGATTGAAACGTTTCAGCCAGGAATATGTTCTCGACTTCCATGATCTTATTTACTACAAAAACATTCTCCTTCAAAAAATTGTTCATTATTTGTACCATCAGCTTCTACAACGTTTACATTTTACAGTAATGAACGAACAAAACTTCCAAACGATCATCAAAGTTACGACATGACTTAACTTACTTCGCGATGTATACACTGGTTATATCATAATTCCTCATACTCAGT